AATTCAGTCAAAAAATTTGAACGTGTTAGACAGCAGTGGATTGTGAGCATCCTGAAGCTGGAACTGAACGACACTTATAGGAGGATAGACTTCACTCGGACACAACTTTTTAGACTTGCACGTGTTATTTCCCGTCGTCTCCCTGTTCACATTAGCGATGCCTTCTTTAATAAACAAGCGAAATCGTCATACCTTTTTTTCTTACGCGAAAAGAATAGAATAGATTCGAAGTGTTGCTGGCTATTGTCAAAACAGAGGGAAGAACTACTAGATAATGATATGAGAAGGATTAGGCCTATTCGTCATTATCAAGAGACGGTGCCCGCTACTGATGCTGTCCATTGCAGCATCCGGAGTTCCGGAGTTAGAACTCTCATAGCATTACTACTGAGACCCTCGATGCTGATTACGAAGATATAGATTCTTTACGAAATCTGAATATTACTAATACTGTGCGATGTGGAAATCATGTTAAGAATTGTGCGTTACAGAATGCATTTAAAATATACAATTGGTGATCGCAACGTCAAAAACAATTATATCAAGTTTAAAAAATAAAGAAGATAAAAATAAGAAATTAAAAATAAAGAAGAATGAGATTTCTTTATCAAATATATTTTAATTTCTTTCCCCTTTCTCTGTAATTAAGAATCTTTCAATAATGATCACCGTTCAGTAGTAGTTCGATATACCTAGTTAAATAAAGTGTTCGATATGTATTCAATACTAATAGTGGGATGACTCATTTTCATAGATGACTCATTTCCTTCATGTTAGGTAACTTGGAATTTATCAAAGAAAAAGAAATGCATTCTTCGTTAACCTTTTTTTTGGTAGTGAAAAAACGGTAGACGAGCGCGCAGATATGAAAACAATATATTATATTTATCACGATAGTCTAAACTTTTTTGTTACAAGCGTACATCCCTACTCTACAGCCTGTAAATTCTAGACAGCAATAATTTTTCTTCGTTCTCTCAGTAAACTCGAAGATTTCAGTCAGTTCAAGTCTCTTGTAAAAATCTCAGTTAGTATAGATAACATCGAGGAGTTACTTGACGCTGTCGCATATATATAGTACGTGTAAATGCTGATAAATATTTTATTTGAAAATGTCTCATCTTTATACAATAGCATAAATGCTATCTATCTAACTATGAAGAACATCACTGAGAAGATGCCAAAGAAT